GCCCAAAGAGACAGGGCCCTGAGACAGGCTCCCAAACTGTCACAAAAGGCTTTCAGCCACTGTATCAGCTACTGTAGCCTGATAGTGCTGCCTAACAACCAATCCCCATCCCCTAGTGGCATCCAATGGTGGGCAGTCGCTGCTCACACATCTCGGGCAGTGGCAGGTGAGTCGGGTAGCCTTGCTGATCTGGGCTGGACTCACCCTGTGCCTAGGGGTCGGCTGGGTGTTGGCTGACCTAGTATGGGTCACGCCAGGACAGCTTGGCTCCGCGTGTCTCTTACCCCTCCCCTGGGCGGGCACTGCGAAGTCACATGGCAAAGGGCGTGGATGCAGGAAGTGTGAATAACCAGGGCCGTCTTGGCAGCCCGCCACATCCACGTTCTCTGCCTCCCATTAGCAGCATGAACTGTGGCAGGGCAGAGGGAAGGCACTCGCCAGGCTGGAGCCCTGAACTCTGCCACTGACAGGCGGTGTCAATGGCCGAGTCGCCTGACCTCTCTAGCCTCAGTTTTCCTCGTCTGTAAAATGGACACCTGGCCCTGCCTCCTTTCTGGGAGCCAAGGAAATAACAGAGGCTTCCAAATAGGAGGAGTCATTGCTCCTAATTCCTCCCTCCCCGGACTCCTGACAGCAAATCTTCCCATTCTGTTTTGTTCCTCAGGAGAGGAAGCCTCACTCCTTGCAGGCCTTAGGCCTCCAGCAGCTCCTTGGGGTCCAATTCCTGTCCGGTTGAGGGTTGAGACACGTGTCTACAAAGGTTCTCATGGCCGTGGGCCAGGGGCCGTGTGCAGGCAGAGAATAAACACACAGTGTCTCCCCATAGCATCTGTTTTCTGTGCAGATTTGGAAGGAAGAAAAAACTTTATATTAAAATAAACCCAGCTACATTACAAAGTCACGAAATTCCAATTAAGCTTTCCAGATGAAGAACGAGGCTTCTGAGACATTTTGTTGTTGGGACTGCTGTCTGCTAGACCCCAGATCATCACTTTGCTGCAAACTAGAGCCTACAACACAAATCTGTTTTGTAAATAAAGTTTTATTGGAACACAGCTATGCCCATATGGCTGCTTTTACACCACGACAGCAGAGCTGACAAGTTGTGACAGAGACCATATGGCTCTAAAATGTTTACTGTCTGGCCCTTTACACTAAACGTTTGCCAACCCCTGATCTAGCGGATTGTCTGATGGAAAAGATTGAAGAATTCTGTTCTATTCTCATATCCGAGGGCTGCGGGTCTGAAGCACTAAGCGTGAACGTTCACTGCACACTTACTGTTCTGAGCGCTTTGAGTGAGTAAACCGTTGTTCAGTCCTAACGACCCTGAGAGATGAACCGTACCAACCTTGTGTCCACGAGACAGGAGAAGAAAGCCAGGAATAGAGACGTGGACCTTGCCGTTGCCCAGAGCTTCTCAAACTGCACTGAGCAGAGGAACGAGCTCACCTGCGCATCCCAGCGAACCGCAGATGCCAAGGTGGGAGATTCTGCATTTCTGACAGCTCCTGAGCTGTGCTGCTGCCGCTGGTCCAGCCCACACTCAGTAACCAGGATCCAAACACAGAGTCACCACAGGGGCACCAGGACCCACGCCCACGCCCCTCGCCACTGGGCTACAAGGCTCCCGGAGGGATTGTTCTGAATGGGTCGAAAGTCCCGTGGGAATTTCACATCTGGATCTGCCTGCCCCCCTGAGACCTCACAGACCCAGTCCAGGTGGGAACTGGACAGGTTGCCTTGTTGTCAAACAATATATAAACGAGCTCTGGGGGGGGGCGTGGGCCGTCGTGGCTACTTGCTCTCTGCCCTCCCGGCCCCCATGTCCTCCCCACCCAGCACACAAGCCTGGATTCTGGTTTAGGTGCTGTCCCCGGGCATCCCTGCTCTGGTGGTCCCGGTGGTCTCAGTGGAGCACGTGCTCCAGGCCTGGCCAATCAGTGCATTTCATCCCCTCCCCCACCACAACCATTGGTTCAGGGATGGGCATGTGACCTGAGGCAGGTCCAATCAGAGAGGTCACAGGAGGTCTGCAGGGAGCTTCTGGAAGGCTGTCACTCATGCTGGGTTTGAGGATGTGGGGATTTGAGGCTACAACAGCAAAAGGAGACTGAAAGGAAGAGAAGGAGTGATTTTGTTCCCCAGGGTACATTTGGCAATGTGTGGAGACATTTTGCTTATCACAGCTCTTGGGGTTGGGTACTGGCACCTAGTGGGTGGGGGCAGGGGTGCTGCCAAACGTCCTGCAATGCACAGGACAGGCCCCATAACGAAGAATCATCCTGCCCAAAATGCCCACGAGACTGCAGTTGAGAAGCAGAGATTCTGCAGTGATCTTGTCCCCAAGGAAGGGAGACCCTGGGGCTGCCACAGGCCACTTAACACAGCCCGAGAATGGAACTCACAGCAACAGGCAGAGCCACAAGAAGGAGAGAAGCCAGGTCTTGGGGACATCGTCAGGGCCCAGGATCCAGCTGTGCCTGAAGCCACCTCTGCTGCTGGACTTTTCCATTTTGTGGCCCAAGGAATGACTTTTTTGGCTTAGGCCAATTTGAGTGAAGTTTTGTGTCACTTTCTAATCCTGACAGCAAAGTGGTAAAACAGACTGGCTTTGTGTTCCTCTCCTGCTTTCTAGATGGGCAACCCCAGGCCAGAAGTCCTCTGTGAATTGCCCAAGGTCACTCAGCAAACCCATGGCATGTGCCAACCTGGTGTTTGTTCCGTGGCCTCATACAGGAAAAACCTTATTTTTATATTAAAACAAACACAGATACGGGGAGCAGGATGACAAATTCACATTAACCTTGAAGATAAAACGAGACTTCCGAAATAGTCGTTTTCTGCAGCAACTGCTACTGACTATAAACAAAGTCCAAACTTGTACAGGGAGTCAGGGGCAGAGTTGGGACTGGAACCCGGGTCTGCCGACATCCAGTCCAGTGGGATTCTGCACCTAACTGCCCTCATATCTGCATGATCCTTGGGAGACTATTGAGTTCTTTTACACCCATTTTCTTACCCACACAACAGTTCTGCAATCCGGGCCTAGATTGCTGTCTAGGAAACTAAGGTTCAGAAGGTAACTGACGTGTCGGGGCCACACCGCTCCAAACTGACCAAGCAAGGACTTGAACACAGGTCTTAAGAGTTCAAGTCCACCTTCCCCTCTGCTTTTCCAGCTGAGACAAACACTGGAGTCTCTGATCACAGAGCAGAGCCGGCTCCTCAGCGCCTGGCCTGCCCGGCACTGTGCTCTGCCTGAAAGCAACAAGAGTGACAGTCTCAGGAAGAGCAAGAAAGTCCATCAGGAAACCCGCTCACTTACTCCACCTTCCCCGCCAACGAGGGGCTCATGGTAGTACTAGGAGGTGATGCACACTGCTGGAATCAGACCAACATAGGTTCAAATCCCCATTCTGCCACTCAGAAGCTGTGTGATCTGGGCAAGTCACTTTACCTGTCTGAACCCAGCTTCCTCCTCTGAAATAAGGGAGCCTCTTAAGGGCTTCTCTGATTTTCTAAGGCTTAGATTAGATAACAAATGTGAGTGCTTGGTGAGTGTCGGTTTGCCTACCTTTGTTCTCCTTTGCAAGAAGCTCCTCTTTTGACCCCATGTGGAAGACAAAGTTATTGGGCAAGTGCAAACTTCTATTGTCTTAGTAGCAGACCATGAAACCCAACCTGATCCATCCCGACAAGGCCCTCCTGTGTCAGGTTTCGCCTTCGCCCCATCACTGGGGCTGCCAAACCTCAATTGCCTGGGTCTGCCTTGCCCCTCTGCTGGGCAGCACGTTCCCCACATTATGCAAATCCTCACCACGATGTTGTGAAACAGACTGGACACAGGTTTCTCTCCCTGTTTCACATATGGGCATCCTGGCCTCGAGACTTACATGACTCATCCAATGTCACAAAGCAAGCCATGGCATGGCCTAAGACAGGGTTTCTCCACCCCAGCACCATTGACATTTGGGGCTGAGCAAGTCCTTGTTGTCCTGTGCATTGTAGGATGTTTAGCAGCATCTCTGTTCTCTACCCACTAGATGCCAATAATTACATCAACCTCTGCCATGACAACAAAAATGCCTCTAAACGTCAAATGTCCCCCATCAGGCTAAACCAGCCACCTTGAGAGTGACTGAACCAGAATACTGTTTGTTCAGCATGCCAACTTAATCTTTCTTACAAAACACGATCCGAGGCCAGGTGCAGTGGCACACACCTGTAATCCTAGCACTCTGGGAGGCTGAGGCGGGAGGATCACTTGAGGTCAGGGATTCAAGACCAGTCTGAGTAAGAGTGAGACCCTGTCTCTAGTAAAAAATAGAATAAAAAATTAGCTGGGCAACTAAAAGTAGAAAAAATTAGCTGGGCGTGGGGGCACACCCCTGTAGTCCGAGCTAATTGAGAGACTGAGTCAGGAGGAGTTATGCAAAACTAACCTGATTTTTAGTTTTCTCCCCCTAGTCCACCCCCAGCTATACAGTTACTGGCCTGGAAAAATCAAAAAGGTGCTGTAAACTTAGTGCATCTGTTTTTGGCCTCAGGTGTAAAAGTTGAGTTAACCACACTCCTCCATTCATGGCACTTTATCATCAATGATTAAGCCCCCTGCTTGAGCCCAGGAGTTTGAGGTTCTGTGAGCTAGGCTGATGCCCACGGCACTCTAGCACTCTAGCCCTGATAACAGAGTGAGACCCTATCTCAAAAAACAAAAAACACAACCCCAAGGACCAACAACAAATATTTTTCTTCCTCCCCTAACACACAACATAGTCTCTTGAAAGCAGATAGAACCCATATTCCAATACCTATCTTTGGCATTTTTTTCAAAATATTTCAAGGGTGATGGTTGGGATAAAATAGAAAAAAATATTTGGACACGAGCTCCTTTTTCCACTGGGCTTTGGGAAAATCCCCATCTTGCATGCTCCCAGGGTATCTCTCGCTGATAAGCCTGCCCATAAAACCGAGGCATTAGCCAGGGCCAGGCTTACAGAATCCCAGGGACACACCATGATCAGGATCCTACTGCTGTCTGCATTGGTAGTTGGAGGTGAGCCCTGTCACCCAGAGACCCTGGTTTTCCATCCCCAGGTGGAGGTGGGAAAGGGACCTTCCTGCCTTCCCCTCTAACCCCTCCCCGCCCCCTCTGCATGAAGTCCTATAGCTATAAGAAAGCTGGAGCAGAGATCAAAAGAACTGGACCAAAGAGCAGAACTCTATGATCTCTTAGGATCCTTCCAGAACCAAGATTTTCTATTTAAGGGGTAGGAATGCTGTGAGTGTAGGGTACATTGCTTGGGTCACTGCTACCTGGGCTCACAACCCTTTCTCTTACCACAGCTCTCAGCTGTGGGCGCTCCACTTACCCGCCCAAGGTGTCCAGGGTGGTCGGAGGTGAAGATGTGAACCCCAACAGCTGGCCCTGGCAGGTGAGTCGACCACGCTATACTTCCTCCTTCCCGGCCCCACTCCCCTCACATCACCGCTTTGCCCTTCCACCATGGGCTCTATTGTGCTGGCAGAGATGAGGATTGGTGGGCAGCGTGGCCACTTCACCAGTAAAACATATTTCTGTGGCCTGGGCCAGCCCTGGGTGTCGGGGAGAGGTGCCTTCTCCAGCTTCAATAAGGAGCTGCTCCACCCCACTATTCCTGCCCACAAATTCACATAGTCTTACTCTGCTAACCAATCAGATGCTTGCATACAAATGTACTGTTGTCGTATGAACCATTCATCACCACCTATGCAAATGAGCCTTGCTTTAAGGAACCAATCAGTGCTGTTTATGCAGATTAATCCTTAACTATAGGCAAAGCAATGAAAATTGATGTTACCAATGAAAATGAATGTTTCCTTACGTTCACATAATCATAGTGATAGCAAGACTAAAATGCAGGGTGGGGCACAGGCACAAAGTCCTAGGACATGTCAGTGGTGGGACTAACCCACACCCACCCCAACTTGAACTCCTGGCCTCAAGCGATCCTTCTGCCTCAGCCTCCCGAGTAGCTGGGATTACAGGTGTGCACCACCCAATCCAGCTGTTAGTGACAGGACTCTCAAAGGAAATGTATGGAGTTCACATTGTCATAAATAAATATAGGGAGATCTCTCTTGTCTGACATAATTGGGACTGAGTATTGAAAAACTGATTATAGATAAATTATTTTAAATCATACATATATGCTTTAAACATTTTATCTTAATTTAGATCATGTAAATATACATTCATTCACTAATCTTTTTAGTTCTTAACTGTCATTCTCATATAAACCATCCCATAATATATCATCTACAAGTTCATTTCTTTAGAGTAGAAACTTTGAAACACTCATGAAGCAATCTGAGTGACGAGCCCATCCAGACTTTTACGACTTTTTCTCCTAATCTTTCCACTTTCTCACACACTAATTCAAGAGAATTTTTTTTAAGAGTCATGGTTATCCAGTCTCTTCCAAGCATTTAACTTAGTTTCCATACAAATCACAACTCTCTTTTCGAACTCATATTTTGGTAGTTACGTGTTTAATGAAATTTCATTATTGCGAGCAGAATGTACACAAACAAGTGTGGGTGCAAACCCGGCTGAATTGGGGTGAGTTTCTAAACCTAAGTGGTGGGTGCGTCTAGGGGCCTGCTAGCCTTCTGTGTTCAGGGTGCCTCATGCCGCAGTCACTATGTTTATAGAAGGAATGGCCACCATCTAGGCCCTGCCCTTCAACTAAGAGAGCCTTCTGGCTCATGCCTGTAGTCCCAGCTACTTGAGAGGCTGAGGCAGGAGGATCACTCGAGGCTGGGAGTTTGAGACCAGCTTGGGCAACATAGTGAGTCTTTAAAAATAACTTAAAAAAAGAGAGGGCCAATGATAGAATGGTGCTTGATATTTCACAATTTGTATACTTGGCTTTATGTCCCTTTACCACTTCTTTTGCTTTTTTCAAAGTCGCACAGTATTTTTTCTCTGGGAGGTTGGAGGAGGGGCCACGTCCCTGCGCTGCAGGGCCCCAGAGCACAGGGACACTTGTGCTGAGATCCCCTCAGTGCTGCCGACCTAAGTGTTTCCTACCCTCTTGTCCCAGTGTATCCTTGCCTCGGCAGCCAACTGCTGTGAGTCTTGGAAGACCCTACACTTCCTGCTTCTGTTTCCTCGGGGAGATTTGTTTATTGGGCTGGGTGGGCAGGTCTAGCTGGGCAGAAACTCAGGGGAGGCAAGCAAGGCACTGACTTTAGGGGAAAAATTTAAGGGGGTAACACAAAACTTGGCAACCAAAATGAATAATATTTGCATGCAATATTTTTAAAAATCAAACTTAATACAAAAGTATCCATAATGAACAAAATATCAACGTTTTAAACAAAGCCAGGATTAATGTGACTCAGCACTGTACTACCTGAGAGGACTGACATCCCCAAGATTGTGGCTCTGGGTCAATGCTCCCAAAACGAATCCACCATACACTCAAAAATAAAGGGCTACGAGCTTTAGAACTAAAGTAGATTTAAAGTTTTCCAAAAAGTATAAAGTTTCCAAAAACAGATTCCGGATCCAGGTGGCCGGGGCTCCAATCCTGGCGATGACCTGGAGCAACTCCATCGCCCTTTGGAGGCAATATTAGAAACACCCTAGAGCCGTGTGGCACGGACCCCATTGTGCTGATGCACATCAGCTGCCTTAGTTTACTCAGCTGTGAAAGGGGAATAACGATGCTGCCTCATAGGGTTGCTGTGGTTACGACGTGAGCTGATGCACATTCTGAGCTCAGAACAGTGTCTGGCCCCTGGCAAGTGCTCAAATTATTAGACACGTAAAGTGTTTGCTATTGTGATTACAGCATTCATCCCCCCGAGAGCCCTGCACAGTAGGTATTATGTTCCCCATTTTCCAGATAAGGGAAGAACTTCTCAGGCTGGACGTGGTGGCTCATGCCTGTATTCCTAGCACTCTGAGAGACCCAGGCAGGAGGATCGTTTGTGGTCAGGAGTCCGAGACCAACCTGAGCAAAAGTGAGACACCCCCTCCACCCCGTCTCTACTAAAAATAGAAAAAATTACCCAGGCTTGGTTGCATAGGCCTGTAGTCCCAGCTACTTGAGAGGCTGAGGCAAGAGGATCCCTTGAGCCCAGGAGTTGGAGGTTGCTCTGAGCCAGGCTGACCCTACAGCACTCTAGCCCAACTCTAGGCAACGGAGCAAGACTGTGTCTCAAAAAAAAAAACCAACTTATCTGGGACACAGAAAGGGTACCTAGTTGCCCTACGTCACCCGGTTAGCCCGGGGCACAGTGAGGATTCAAATTTGGTTCAGTCCTTGCTCTTTGGGCCACACTTTGCTGCCCACAAGTAACATGTGTTACGTGGACACAATTTCACATCTGTAGGATGGATGGCTTCAGCCTATTTTGAGATTGAGGAGGGAGGCACTTTTAGGTGTGTTTTTTCCATTTTGTCTAATTTTAAACATCTTTTTAAAAGCCAGTTCCAAGGGCAACATACGTAACCTAAACATCTGTACCCCCATAATATGCTGAAATAAAAAAAAAAAAAAAGCCAGTTCCTCTAAGGCCCCTTAATATCGAGCAAATGAGAAACGCCCAGTGGCTAATCAGAAATGCAGACGTTGGGAGAAAAGCAGCGCAGAGAGAACCACTCCCCCAGAGACAGGAGCCCTGGTCAGAGCAGTCGGCTCTGCCGTCACCTCCCTCCTTTCTGCTTGGCCATGGCACAGACTTGAAAGACAGGAGAGGAGGAATGAAGACGGGGGAAGGCCACGCGACAGCCTCGTTAGAGACTGGAACAGTGACAAATGCTGTCACCTTAAAGTTTATGAAACCTAAACAGAAATAATCTTTTACCAAAAAAAGAAACATGCTAAGGAGCTGGGGGTGGAAGGAAGTCGGGTGCACTCAGGCATTCTCACATTCCTAGGACTGCATTCAGTCCTCAGGGAGAAACTAGAGCGACAGGTGACAAGATCTACAGGAGAGATCACACCCTTGCCCTGGTGATTCCACTTTCGTTCATTCACTCATTCATTCGTTCATTTGCTTACTCAGCACTGATTCAATCAGTAAGTATTTACCAGACACTGTTTCTAAGCACCTGGAAGACAGCAGTGAGGAAAAGAAAATCAGAGACATTTTTTTAAAGTGGGGTGGCTGAGACAATAAACAGTTGATGGGTAAATTCATAACATATCAGGTAGCGAAAGATACGATGATGAAGAGTAAAGCAGGACAAGAGGGAAGAGAGAGACGTGTGCACGTCTGTGTGTGTATGCATGTGTACAGGAGCGTGCATGTGTGTGTGCGCACAGCATGTTGGATACGGTGGTCATAGAAGGCCTCACAGAGGAAGTAACCTTGAGCAGAGACCTATAGGAAGGGAAGGAGAGAGCTATGCTGTTACTTGGGAGAAGAATATTCCAGGCAGGGGGAACAGCAAGTGCAAAGGCCCTGAGGCAGAAGTGGGTTTGGTGCATTTGCAGAACCGCACGAAGGTCAGTATGGCTAGAAGAGAGGGGGTGGAGGCCTATGAAATCAGAGAGGTCAGGGAGGGCCTAGGAGGTCATCGTACAGTTTGGGATTTTACTGTGTTCAAGGGGGAGGCACTGGAGTGTTTGAGCTGAGAGACATAATCACACTACATTTACTTGTTTTCTAGAATTTATTTATTTATTTATTTATTTACTGTTAGAGACAGGGTCTTGCTCTGTCACCCAGGCTAGAGTACAGTGGCATCATCATGGCCACAACAACCTCAAACTCCTGGGCTCAAGCTATCCTCCCACCTCAGCCTCCTGAGTAGGTTGGACTATAGGAGAATGCACCACACTGGGCTAATTTTTCTATTGTTCATATTTTAAGAGAGGGGGGGTCTCCTATGTTGCCCAGGCTGGTCTTGAACTCCTGGCCTCAAGCAATCCTCTTGCCTTGGCCTCCCAAAGCGCTGGGATTACAGGCATGAGCTATCACTCGTGTCCCCAGACTTACATTGAAAAGGATCATTCTGCCTGCTGTGTTGGAAAATATGAGTGGGAGCGGGGAAAACAGGACACTAGACGAGAGATGACAGTGGCTGGGGCGAGCAGCTCAGGTGGTGCCGGGGTAGCAGTCACTCCACGTGTTCTGAAAGCAGAGCTGACGGAATTTGCAGACGGATTTGAACGCAGGATATGAGAGTAAGAGAAGAGCAAAGGATGACGCCAAGGTTTGTGACCTGAGCAGGAAGAAGAGTCGCCATTTACTGAGACGAGGAAGCCTGCGGAAAGAACAGGATTGGGGGGTGGAATCCGAGAGGTTGGTTTCAGACATATTAAATTGGAGGGAGCTAAGAATAGCTCCCAAGAAGGGGAAGATCTCAACAAATCAAGTTGCAAAAAGATGTTCAGAACAGTTATGTTTTAATTGCCTATGTAAGTTTTCGATATTTTGTTTATCCTGAATTTTTGTGTTAATTTTGATTTTTTTTAATAGATAGCATTAAAATGATTTTTATCGGGATGGCTGAGTTTTTGGCAACCCCTTATTTTGCACCTGTGAGTGCCTCACTCCCTTACTGGGCCGGCCACGGCCCTGCTCTCGTGACACTGGACAGCAGCGCCGCCTAGACCTCTCAGCCCCCGGCGTGCCTGTGCTTCTCCACAGGTCTCCCTGCAGTACAGCTCCAACGGCAAGTGGCACCACACCTGCGGAGGGTCCCTGGTGGCCCAGAACTGGGTCATGACAGCGGCCCACTGCATCAGGTAACTGCCACGCCCCAGGCACCCAGCCCGAGCACCGCCCGTGCTGCCTCTCGGAGCGGGGCCCGAATGGCCCGCACCAGGCTGTGCAGATGACCACCTGCATGGCCAAGGCACAAGCTTCAGTCCACCTATGGTTCTGTCTGTTGGTCCGTCCATGCGTCAATATGTGGCATGGACTGAGTGACCTGTGCCAGGCACTGAGGGAGGATGCAGAGGAGGGGACGGTACAATCCCTGCCCTCCAGGTTTGTAGATGTGGCCTCTGGATCTGGAATTGGGTTCCCACAAGCAACTTCTCCAAGCTTCAATACTATCACCTGTAAAAATGGGGTGAGAGAATTGAGTGTGGATTAAATAGGCCTGGCACTTAGTAAGTGCTCAATAAAAGTGAATTATAACAAATACGCCAATTATAAGGCCCAGGGGGAAAGAGAAGATTCTGCAACGTTGTTCACTTATCCTCTTTCTTCCCTGTGACCTCTGCTTATCACATCAGCTGGAACTCACCGGAGCTTCCAAGGTTTGGCTGGGTCGGTGTCACTCTTGCTAGGGGTAGTTCCTTTCTCCCACCTAATTCATAATAAATTCCACGAGATGATGGGAAATTAATAAGGCCTGGGAGTCAGGAGTCCTGGCTCCTGGCCCTGGTTTCTCACTGACTGTGGGACTCTGGACTAGTTAGCCCTCTCTGGGCCTCAGTTTCCCCATCTGAAAATGAGAGCTGGAGGGTTAAACCAGAAAATGCCCTTGAGGGCAAATAACTCCTGTTTCTCTGTGTTCATCTATTCCCTTCAAAATAACATAGAGATTATGTTATTATAACTTTTGTATTGCAGCTCGTAGTTAGCATAGTAACAAATTATTACATAGTTGTAGTTATCATGCTGTATAGTTTATGTTACATTAGAACCAGCTGCCCCTGGGGAAGAAAAATCCCCAAACTCCAACCCGTGGCTCCCGCAGTAGTCACTTACATCCCCATTGCTATCCAAAGCCAGGCCTCTGGAGGGGACGCATTAGGGTGTCCCTGCCTGTGGGGGCAGCTGGGAGCCCACTCCGTTTGGCCCCTTTCTCCCAGCTCCTCCAAGACCTACCGCGTGGTGCTGGGCCGGCACAAGCTCTCCACTGAGGAGTCGGGCTCGGTGGCTGTCAAGGTCTCCAAGCTCGTGGTGCACGAGAAGTGGGACTCCAACCAGCTTGCCAAAGGGTGCGTCTGGGTGCACTTGGAGGGTGAGGTTGGCAAGGGAACAGACAGGGGTCTCACGGAGGCAGGGGGCTCAACCCTACCCCCTCCTTTGCTGCCTCTGTAGGGAGGCAGAAGGAGCTCTGACTCTTAGACCTGGAGCCAGCCCCAAAGGTCCCTGGGGCGGGGGTGTGACCTGGGAAGGCAGAAGCAAAGACTGCTAGAGTGACCTGGGTTTCCTGCCAGCTGTGCCTGCTGGCCGCCTGGCCAGCCCAGACCCTCGCTGACCATGCCGCTCCTCCGTGCCAAGCCTTGGAGACCCAGGGATGCTGCTGCAGATGCCACGACTGTCAGGGGAGGAGGGCACAGTCTCTCCGCCTTCCCCTCCCGACAAGGCCTCTGTCCTGCCTGTCAGGGCAGCCCGGGAGTCATGTCCACAGAAAGACGACAAGGGTTTCAGAGCTCTCCAGGGCCCCACAGGGCATGGAAAGTCAACCCTCTCTTCATGCTCGGCCTCTTCACTGACCCAGGAATGACATTGCCCTGCTCAAACTGGCTTCGTCTGTCTCCCTGAGCGACAAGATCCAGCTGGCCTGCCTCCCACCTGCTGGCACCATTCTCCCCAACAACTACCCCTGCTATGTCACCGGCTGGGGAACGCTGCAGAGTAAGTAAGTGGGGACCAGGAGGGAGAGGAGGCAATGTTGCCCCTGTCCATCCAGGGCCTCTCGCTGCCCCGGAGAGGCCAGAGGGCATAGACTGGTAAGTCTGCCTGGGTTCAAATCCCAGCTCTCCCGCTTGATAGCTGTGTGACCTTGGGCACGTTAGGTAGCCTCTCTGTGCCACAGTCCTCATCTGTAAAATGGGATGATCATAGCACCTACATCACAGCGTTGTCGAGATGGTTGAAGGAGTGCTCCGATGGGAGGCTCTTAGACCAGTGTCTGGCACATCGTAACTGCCAGGTGTTAGTTGTCATGATGCCTGTGATGGAATGAGACTGTTTATACAGACCACATGACATGTTCCGTATGGCCCAAGGCCAGAGTCCAGGACAGCATTTACTCTGTGACCTCAGGCTTCTGGAGCTCCACAAGGTCCCTGGAGACCTCGCCAGACCCTGCACTCCTCATATCAAAAGCTGTCCCATGTGCCACTAACCAATCAACTGTACAGTAATATAGAGAAACAGTATAGACAAACATGGCTGCTCCCATGGCAACCCCGTGGATGGGAGAGAGTAACAGGGGCCAGAAAGAAGAGGCTACAGCCCGAGCCACAGTGAGACCGTTTGTACCAAAAGTAGAAAAATTAGCCAGGTGTCATGGTGCTGTGCGCCTGTATTCCCACATACTCTGGAAGCTGAGGCAAGAGGATCGCTTGAGCCTAGGAGTCTGAGGTTGCAGTGAGCTATGATCACACTACCACCCTCCCACCTGGATGACAGGGAAAGACCCTGTCTCAGAAAAAAAAAAAAAAGAGCTAGACAGAAAGCCCAGCAGGTGTCCACTACTTCCCTTTTTCTCAGGAGTCCCTTTGTCACCGTAATGCTCTCTCTCTTGTCATTCAGCCAACGGGGATACTCCTGACATCCTGCAACAGGGCCGCTTGCTGGTCGTGGACTATGCCACGTGCTCCAGCTCTGGCTGGTGGGGCAGCACCGTGAAGAACAACATGGTCTGCGCTGGGGGTGACGGCGTGACCTCCAGCTGCAACGTGAGTACAGAAAATCCGGTGCCCCTGTTATGCCACCAAGTGTGGCTGGAGATGGGGAAAGGCTCTAGGAGTCCTGGGGTCTGTCCTGCTGCCTCCTGGCAGAAGCACCCAGAAATAGCTCCGGACATATCCCCGACCTTTGATCTTGTCGCCTCAAAACGGAATTGCTGTAGGGGGACTTTGTCCCATAGTGCAAGGTGGGACAGAGTGGGACGGAGTAGAAGTAGCTCCACACCTTTCAGATCACACTGTACCCCACGCTCTCTGCCCACATAGACAACCCCCCGCCCCGAGGACATTCCCTCACGGTGGAAGGAAATGGCCAGCAGCAGTTAGGGGCCTGGTAGCCTAACTCCGGGACGTGTCCTCAGCTCCTTCACTAACTGCCTGTCCAGCCTGGCGGGTCCCAACCTCCAAGACTCCAGGTCCCCCCTCGGTGGCCGGGAGCACTGACAGCGCTCCTAGGCGAACCTCACGGCTTTGTGATTTGCTGAGATGAGGCATAGACAGTGCTCAGCCCGGCGCTGGGCGCACGGAAAGAAGGAATGTCAGCGCTTGTCGGGATGGTGGCACCACCTTGAGCTGTGACACGGGGCTGGCTTCAGAGGGCAGAGCCCCCGCAGTAGCACAACAGAGATGCCATGAGCACAGGGGTTCTAACGCGCGGCCTTCCTCAGGGGGACTCCGGGGGGCCGCTGAACTGCGAGGCAGAGAACGGCCAGTGGGAAGTGCACGGCGTGGTCAGCTTCGGGTCCAGCCTTGGCTGCAACTACTACCACAAGCCCTCCGTCTTCACACGGGTCTCCAACTACATCTCCTGGATCGAGTCGGTAAGAACCACACGAGCCCTGAGCCCACGGGCACTGCTCTGCTCACCCGCCCCAAGAGGGCCATGGCCGCCCGGGGTCTGAGAGCCCCTCCTTCCTCCTGAGGTGTAGGCAGGAGCCCCCGCAAAGTTTCTGCGTGGGCAAAGTTGAGTGAAAAGGAACATGGAGAGTGGCCTTGTCCACAGAGGTTGAGAACAGAGGATTCTCCTCAGGCATTAAGAGTGGGTTCCTTAGGATTAGTGGGGTATTTCGGTTTTGCTTCTCTGTGTGTAGGCACAGACCCCACCAGCCAGTGCTAGGAACACTCGGATTCATCTGCAAAGCCCAAAACCTAACAGTTTGAGACCTCTGCAGCCTTAGTCATTGGAAATCAGTCCACGGCCACTCTTCCCAGTTGGTTCGGGGCTGAGGTTCCTGGGATGCAGGACGTCCAGCTGTAGACGGGGACAGTCCAGGCACACGGGGCCGAGGTGGCCCCCTATTCTTGTGAATGTGAAATCGGCTGTCCCCTACGAGTTTCTGCACCAGCTCAATTTCTGTATTTTTGAACAATGAACACACATTTGTTTACAATAACTATACAATTATTTATTAAAAAAATAATAGCAATCACCAGTATTAAGGAGCAGCCACGGATACAGCAGCTGTGAGCAGAAGCAGAACAGGAAGCGTCATCATGAGAAAGGGGGACCTGGGGGAGGGCGGGGGCCCTGAGCCCAGTGGTGGACACAGGAAGGGAAGAGGAGGACGCTCTATGCCAATTGGGGGCAATTTCTTAACCACCCCTGGCATTGCCACCACCTCAGTTTGCTCTTGGGACTCGACCTAGACCAGGGCTCCTCCACATTCTTAGGAGCCAGAGCAAGTGAGAGTCGTGGCCTTTGTGGCAGAGCCCCCAACACAGGGGAGAGCTGGCATCTGACTGCTTAGGTTTAACTTGCAGAAACTGTTAGATTGAATTCAACTGACACTCATGAAACCAAGTATGAACCTGCAGCCACGAGCACGTGGTCACAGGAGGAAAACTGCACTGTCAGAACAAGCAGGTGGTTGTTTCCCAGGTTGCCCATGAACACCTGCCAGCTCCTCGTTCACTGCTCTGTCTGCTGCCATTTCTTTGCCAGCACGTGCTCACAGGCATCAGAGATTCCAGAAAAGTTTGTTGGAGAAAAATGGAAAATCAAAAAAAGAGTGGGCATTAATTAGCTTTTGTTTTTGTTTTTGGTAAATTGGGGGAAAGCCATGATTTCATTTGGGCAGAGGGAAGTCTGAGTCCAGCTGCTGAGGTCCCACCAGCGTTTCAAAGGAGACTGGCCTGGACAGAGGATGCTGAGGGGCCTTTTCCCAGCCAATCCCAAGACCCCTTTCCCGCCCCAGCTGCGTGAGTCTCCGTGCAGCTGGTCCCCGCAGTACCTTCAGGGCTCAAAGCAGGGGCCAGGGGCAATTGTCCTGACTCCTTGTCCCAGCGTCAGCTGTTCCCAGCAACACACACAAGCATCACAGAGCAGGCCAGACCCTAAAGCGTGGCCGGACAGCAGCAGGGATCAGCCGGGAAAGCGAGCCTTCCAAGGCACTGGGCAGAGGTCCTGCAGTCACGGGACAGCAGCCAAGGCAGGCACAGATGCCCGGGAACGGGTTCCGGAAGTGGAAGAGCCAAGCGCCCAGCTGTCCTCGGGTGGGGGTAGCCCCCGGCAGCTGCGGAGGGCCTGATGAAACCATGCAGTGGTCCCAGCCCAGGCACACACGGTGTGCAGCCTGGAGTCACGCGCAGCTGCAGCCTGTGGGTGCTTGGGAGAAACCCAGACAGGTGACAACCCAAGGTCAGGAAGCTGCCAACAAAAGATCTGAGCAGAGAAGCTTCAGGAGGAGACACGTGGCCAAGGGCATTCATCCTTTCAACAGATGTCTCCTGAATGACAGCAACACAGGGATCTTCAGCAATCACTAGCTTTATTTTTTCAGAAGATAATACATACTGTTTGTAAAAATATTAAAAGAATATGAGTATATCAAACAAAAAAGCAGAAGTCCCCTATCGTTTCACATCCGCAATTCCACTGTCCAGAGCTGTCACTGTTAACGGCTCAGGTGTGGTCTTCTGGATGGTACGTGCACGTATAAACTGTCTATGTACGTACATAGGTACATGCTGTCTTCTAACCAAAAGATACAGTCCTACTCTCCATACGGTCCTGCGACTTACTTTTTTCACTTAACACCCTCTCACATTTTACATGTCAGTACATACGTCTGTGTCATTCTTTCGAACAGCCAGATAATGCTTCGTATTGTGAATATAATGGTCGAAGCTTTCACCTGTTTCCTATGTTCGACACTTACAGAGCTCAAGGGAACATCCTTGCACATAATTCTTGCACAGGGGTCTGAGTGTCTGTGCTACGGCAGCTGCACTGATCGTGAACTCGGCGTGTGAAAATGTTTAACAGATACTGCTAAACAGCCTCTGAAACCAGGTTACGGCCCCACCCACAGTGCGAACAGTGCCTTGCAAACAGCAGTTTTGATCTGAGAAACAAATGAAATCTGAAAGTATGCCCATCCACACATTTGGCTTATAATTTTTAGGGGTTCACAGTCCCCCACCATGAAGCCCAAAAAGGATCCAAGCTAAGACCCCCTTTACAGGAAGACCCTAAGAGGTCAGTGAAAAGCCGTGATCACATCTTTCTCTCCCAAGCATCATCAGAACTCCTTAGGCAGGAGCTACCCCAGCGCAGGCTGCCCGGGATTCACATGAGTAGCGGAGCCTGGAAGGGCAAAGACAGGAAACTGCCAAGCGCAGCACTGCTGTTTGGTTAACTTGATTATTTTGTGTGCACCCTGCAGGTGATGGAAAACAACTAACCAAAAGAAGTCTGCACGACTGTTTCAGACTTGGAAAGGTCACAGAAAGAAAATGATATTATAATAAAGTAACAACTACATGAATCACAGCTTGGTGAGACTCTTATTAGCAAATCATCTAACATCCAGGGCCCTAGGAACAAGAAACAGGCTGAGGTCAGACAGCTTAAAAGACCCCAGGGATGGGGCCTTCTCTGGGAAGCCCAGCATCTCGCCATTGCACACACACTCACACTGCAGTCCAGGGGGGGCCTTGGCAAGCAAGGCACATGGTAGGCATAGGCTGGGACTCAGGAGACCCAGGTTCCAGCCAGGTCTCTCCACTGGATAACTGTGTTCCCTGGGACAAGAGACTTACCCTCCCTGAGCACATGGTTCCCACCCTAGTTGCCCTTCTGGGATGGGACAGGGACCAAGTGAAATAAGATAGGGGGAAATGAGGCCAGGCTCGGTGGCATGTGCCTGCACTCTCAGCTACTTTGGATGCTGAGGCAGGAGGATCGCTTGAGCCCAGGACTTTGAGGCCAACCTGAGCAACATAGCAAGACCCCCAAAGACATGGGGAAATGTTCTGAAAAAAACAAAAGTCTCCTTTATATGGAAGAACAAAATGTTCGAGCAAAATGAGGAGGGAAATAGGCAAAGAGAGTCCATATTTGTCCAAGATTTATTTGTTAAGAATAATGCAATACAGAAAAAATTAACAACTTTTAAAACTTCATTTAGAATTCACAGATTCCAGCTGTTCAGACTCTAGAAGCCCCCGGCTTGCTGATCTAAGAGAGATCAGCAAAACTCTCTGCAGATCAGTGTTTGCTGAGTGGGGGCACTTTTGTCCTCCAGGGCATATCTGGCAATGTCTGAAGATATTTTTAGTTGGCACTACTGGGGGACAGGTGCTGCTGGCATGGAGTGGGTGGAGGCCAGGGATGGCGCTAAACATCCTACAACACACAGGATAGCCCCCCACGTCATAGTGTGGGGGTTAAGCCCCGTCTAGAGAAGACACAGGGCTCACAGGCCACAGTCACTAGCCCAGGACCAGCCACTGGTGAAGAGGCCACTTGGTATCCATGGCATTCTTCTGTCCCTCTTCCGCCACGGCTCAGCGTGTGTGTCCAGTCTGGAAGCTACTAAGAGCCTGGCACAACAGGGAAAGATCAGACCCTGCACAGGCTGCATGTCCCTGAGTTGTAGGGAAGTCCAGGCCTCAGCCGCCACCGGGCCTAGAGAAGGAAGGTTCTGGAGCACAAGATAAGGCAGGGTGAGGAGTCCAGGCCTCACTGTGTTTTAAAGAAAAGTTTTTTCCGGAGGAAATTAAAACAACCAGGCATCTGTTTGTAAATCCCTTTCTCCGAAACAGCGTTAGCAACCTGTGAAAACATGACCACAGGGAAGTCTGTGAGTTCAGTTCTCTGGAGTGAAGGACAAATTCAAAAGAGGGGCTGGGGGGATGTCCACTAAACCCACACTTGACAAACAGCTCTGACTGCATCCTTGCCCAGGAGATTTAATGAACAAGCACCTCAAATATAAGTTTAAAAAACTCAAATTTCAAAATTTATCATGTTCAAATCAGAGTGAAATGTTAATACCCACCCCAGCTCTGCTCTGCAATGCGCAGGGACCAGCTCCTCCCACAGGAGCAAGGGGTGGTCCCAGCCCTCAAGCAGAGCAGCAGGGACCCCCATGTGCTACTTCCCGAAGGTAGCCAGGAGGGCTGGGACCCTGGGAGGAAGCAACCGCTCTGAGCGGGGTTTCCATGGAGTGTGTTGGCCCTACCAGGCCACCCTTCCCCGTCTGTCGTCTCCCTGGAGCCTCTTGAGAAATGAATGTACTAAAGAGGTATTGGTTTTTTGGTGGGTTTTTTTTTTTTTAGATAGAGTCTTACTCTGTCACCCTGGGTAGAGTACAGTGGCATCATCATAGCTCACGGCAACCTCCAACTCCTGGGCTCAAGCAATCCTCTTGCCTCAGCCTCCCAAGTAGCTGGGACTACAGGTGCGAACCACGACACCAGGCTAATTCTTCAATTTTTAGTAGAGACAGGGTCTCATTCTTGCTCAGGCTGGTCTCAAACTCCTGACCGCAAGCGATCCTCCTGCCTCGGCCTCCCAGAGTGCTAGGATTACAGGCGTGAGCCACAGTGCCCAGCCCTAAAGAGGGATTTGTGATTCTTGCGGGACCAGAGGAGAAGACTACAGTGGAGCAACAGGTGCAGGGAGGGGCCCCATGACCCACCCTCGGGGGTGCCAGGCTCTAGCCAGTGAGCCATCCCACCCTGGCACTGAGGACAGGCTCCATCAGTGGGAGAGCTGGGGGTGTCAGCCTGGGAACCTCAGAGGACACAGGGAGGGCAGCCCCTTGAGTAAAAGGCAAATGTCACCACTGGTAGCAACGTCTCTCAAAGAGAAACAAAAGCACTGACTCACGGCAAGCCAGGACTCAGAGGCAGAGGGGGTCCTACCGCCTTTTACCTTTGGTTTGGGCCTGGTGCCCTGCTCGCCCCCACCACCTTGCCCTGAGAAGGGCACCTTCCCCCCACCAGGAGCCCCCTCCCCTTCGAGGAGGGAGGCAGCACTCACCCTGAGCAGCAGGGACTGCAGGTCCTCCGAGGGAGCCCACTGCTCAAAGATGCTGTCCAGGGTCTCCACGTACCAGGAGCCGCTCTTGGGATCCCTCCAGGAGACAAAACCTTCAGAAGGAGGAAGGCTGAACTTTGCTGGAGAGCCACCCCTCCCCTACCATGCACGCAGTCTCGGGGACCTCCAGACTTGGACCTGTTCACACATCCTGCAGGAGCAGCCTCACCCCTGCAGCTCTGCCCCATCGTGATCTTGTTTCATCTTCATGACCCCTCCTGCCTCGGCTAGGATTCCCTCCTTCCTGACAAGGAAGCCAGCCTCAGAGAAGTGAAGGGACTCGCCCAAGGGATAAGAAGGGAAGGAAACTACCACCTGTGGCACCTGCCATGTGCCGTCACCGTGCTCGGTGAGGAGCCAGCCCTCTGTTTAATCCCCCATGACAACTCCCGAGGTGCGATTACTATTCCCATTCTAAAGCTGAGAAGGCTGAGGCAGGGTGAGGCGGTGAGGGCGTGTGCCCTACCGTGCATCCTCGCCCCTTCAGCCTGAGCTGAGGCTGAGAGAAGTGAAGTCCCTTGCTCAGGGTTACACAGGTGGCAAGAGGCAGAACCAGGGCTCACGCCCAGGTGTTTCCTTTCAGAGCACAGCTGCCTCCAGGACAGACGGGAAGCCCACTGGCTGGGACGACGAGCGCTCCTCATGTGCTCACCTGGGAAGGTGGAGTAGGACACAAAGATGTCACTGGGGGTGGGCAAACTCGACACGGCATCCGGCTGGTCAATGGTCCCAGAGCCCTCCTGGAACGGGGTGGCGTCTGTCTCCGGGTTACTGCCAGAGGCCCTGTCTTCAAGGGAAGTGGAGGCCACCTCAAACCCGTGATCTTTCTGCCCTGCGGGAAGCAAAAACAAACACCACTTGCCACTGAAACTCACAGACCGGGGCTCTCGCCTCATTTCTTGGTCCATCTACCCTGCCCCCATCCAAGACCACCTGACTCCCTCTCAAGCCAGGGTCCTAGTGCTGGGCACACATGAGCAGCAAACGGAAACTTTACTTTTTTCTACAACAAAGCATGTTCACAAGGTCAAATTTGGGGGAAGAAAGGGGAATACAGAAATTTTAAAAACTGCTATAAAAACAGGTTATAGGATATACACCTAAAATAATGGAAAACAGGTATTCAAACAAAAACTTACGCACAGGTGTGCACGGCAGCACCGTTCACAATAGCCAAAAGGTGGAAACAACCCAGCGTCCATCAATGCATGAATGGACAAAGTAAACATGGTCTATCCAGCAAAGGAACATTATCCAGCCTTAAAAAGGACTGAAACGCCGATACCTGCTACTGCGACACGGTGAACCTGGAAACACTGTGCTGAGAACAGAAGCCGTCATAAAAGGCCACATGATACATGATGCCACTTATACGAAATATCCAGAACAGGCAAATCCATAGAGGATTTCCCACGGGTTATTACGAAGCCTTCTTCAAACTCCCGGTTTGTGACACAGAGGCAGATAGGCGTACATCTACGGGGCACCCTGGGGTGCGGAGCATCAACACAGACACCAAGGAAAGACACAGGGAAGGAGAAGATGGGTCCTTCTGTCTCAGGTGCTAAAAGCTCAGAGTGAATAAACTGTGCCCTCAAGTTACACTGAGGCTTGGATTAAAGGGAAAAAAAAGCCATATAAGGTAGACATCGACAAAATACGAAGATAGAAAAATAGAGCAAAATCAATGAAACCGAAAGTCGGTTCTTCAAAAAGATCAACGAAATTAACAAACCTCTAGCTAGATGGACTAAGAAGAGAAAAGACTCACATTAGTAAAATCAGAAATGACGGTGGGGACATTACTACCAATTCCACAGAAATAAAAAAGGAATATGAATGAGGGCACTGTGAACCACGGCACACCAACAAATCGGATGAAACCTAGATGAAACGGACGAGCTCCTAGAAACACAAAATCTAAGACTAAGTCACAAAGAAATAGAAAATCTAAACAGACTTAGAACTAGAAAGGAGACTCAGTAATAAAAAAATATCTCTGGCTGGGTGTGATGTCTCACACCTGTAATTCTAGCACTTTAGGAGGCAGAGGCGGGAGAATCGCTTGAGGTCAGGAGTTCGAGACCAGCCTGATCAAGAGCCAGACACTGTCTTTACAAAAAATAGAAAAATCAGCTGGGTGTGGTGGTGTGCACCTGTAGTCCCCTACTCGGGAGGCTGAGGCAGGAGGATTGCTTGAGCCCAGGAGTTTGAGGTTGCTGTGAGCTAGGCTGATGCCACGGCACTCTAGCTCGGGCAACAGAGCAAGACTCTGTCTCAGAAAAAGAAAAAGAAAAAGAAAAAGGCAGAGGGCAGAGTTAAGTGGTCCAGAGGGTCCCTTAGGGAAACACTCCTGGAGAAGGTGACAATGACCCAGGCTCTGATGCGAGAGAACAGGGAGAACAGTCCTGGTGGGACAGACGGCACACGTCGGGCTGCAGAGGTAGCAGGTTGGTGTGGCTGGATCGACGTGTCGGAGGGAGGGCACAGTTCACACAGGGAGCTGGGGGCCCACCTGCAGGGGACAGAGATGGTTCTGGCAACCCCATAATAATAACATCTACTGACCTCTCACTCCACACAGCTAAAGCTCCGGAGCTGCTGGCAATCTGAATTCTCTCGGATAACATGCAGGGGAGCAGGCCTCTGCCCTAGAGGTTTTGCCTCTCACCCACCCTGCTGCTTCCCCCAGAGGGCCCCCAGCCTGCAACGTGGGGCCTCTCATATCTGCAAAAGCCATACTCGTCTCTAGCTTTCTCAGTTCATCGCTGCTGGCTGCGTTCTTGGTAGAGATTCTGGAATCTACCCCAGGTGTCTGTGCAGCAGCAGAGGGAGGACGCCCAGGACGTGAGTGGGGGACTGTGTCTGGTGTGCCTGGGCAGCCTGCTGCAGCAGCGGCAGGGGGCACTGGAGTGGGGGTGCCACCAGAATGGCCCAAGGAAACAGGAGTGAGCAGAGAGACTGCCTCCCAAAAACGGAGAGCAGACACCGGGATCACAGAGGGGGTGTGGGGAAAGGGGAAGAGCGGGCCAGATGGGGGATGCTACTGCACCTCCATTCCTGCGTCATCCCCATCCTGCAAATGTGACACGAAGGCCCAGCCTGCAGGGCGATGCATCTTGTGCACAGCTTGGTTCTTAGACAGCCTCGTTAATGCAAAACTCCCTGCAAGGCAAGACTCACTTCCCCGTAAGAATAAACACACAGTGGGCGGAGGCGATGTTCCCTCCGCACATGAAGTCCACAACCACCGCAGCACATTGCTGTTGCTTTCTGCCTCCTCCACGTGACCTCTAAAATTCTCAAGAGGGGTCACCCCAAAATTGACAGCTTGGCCTCACAGAGGCGGCCACGTGCCTTCAGCCAAGTGTGTCCTGCTGTTTTGTGCTATATCACGCTGACATCCCACACCAAAATTAATGACTTTGGGGCATGTTTTTCCAGCCCTGGTGCCGTGCTACCTCTTAATGAAGGGGAGGATGTGTTGCGGGATTTTTAAATTGTTTTAAATTATTACAACAGTGAGTGTTGAAATAGCAATACAAGAGTCACCAAAATGCAGGGCAGGTGCGCTGACGCACATAAACAGGACACCCGCCAGACAGTGGCAGAGAACGGGACTTATCTGTGTATTTCTGTTCTCAGCTGACGTGGCGCCACCATGTGGCAACAGCGATAAACACCAGGTCACGCAGCCTGCCAGGGGCAAAGCAGGGACCAGAACTCCAAAGAGGGCATCTTACTCACTGCATTCCAGAGCTTGGAAATCTTGCCGTTCCCAGTAAGTTTTCTTTTGTTTTGTTTTAATGGCAGGAATCTGAATTATTTCAAATTCTGTTCAGAGATATTTTTATACGGTTCTACTTCAAATTCAAAAATTAGAATCCACATGAGATGCAGGCAGTCTGTGAGCTCCGTGCCAGGCTGGGGCCCGGCTGGGGGACAGCAGGCCTAGTTCCGCCCTCAGAGCTGACCAGGGATGAGGCCATCCCAATCCAAGGAGAAAGTGATATGGCAGCAGAAGAACAGGGCCTGCAAGATCACAGGGGCCAGCTAACCTTGACCTTGTACAAGGAAGAGGGTGTTTAGAGACTTCCTAGAGACAGTGACAGTAAGTTGTAACCAAAGATGGATGATTCAGAGGTAGCCAGGGGACAAGGCAGAGGAACAAGGAAGAGCCTGGGACATCCTGGGAAGATTGAGCCTTGTTGGGGGGCGGGGGACAAAAGTGGCAGGGGCCTGTCATCAAAGGCCTATAGGCCCCGCTAAGGAGTCCAAAGAGTGACACTGCAGCCATGCACATGACAAAGGTCCTCCTTGCTGCTGAGAATGGATGGGGGAGGGGTGCACAAGACGGGCAAACTGTCCAGAAGGCGGGCACTCCGCCTACCTTCATTCGTGACGCCTTGCCCTCTCCACCTTCCATTTGATTCGCATGGGAGAGGGGCCACAGGCTTCAGAGTGAGAGCATCACTCGACCACGCATTTTGGATAAGAAAAAAGGTGAGTTAGAGCAGGACGTCTACAACCCCCAGGAGCAGCTGCCTCCCGCTTCCTAATGCTGGTATGCTGAGGTAACTGCGCTGGCAACAGGGGAGTAGGGGGCACTGTGTCTTCCAGGATGGGGGAATGGGGGGAGTCTGGGTTTTCAGCTGATAAAATGAACCAGGCATTGTAAACTAATTAGTGCACTGGATATTGGCATGGTAACACCACCAGGTGGGTTCTGTTATTCTCCCCATTTGCCAACGTTTCTAGAGGTTGACTGGCCTAGGACCATATAATACAATGAGTGAGTAGCCAATCCAGGGTTGAATGAAGTGTCCTCAGTCACTTGTGGCCAAGCTGTAGACGGGGGTCATGACAGTGACTTAATATAGTTCATTTCAAATTATACATTTCAGGGGCCTGAGACCCTATCTTCCCTCTATCCCCAGCACCTAACACACCTGGTGTATAAGCAGGTGCTCGATGAACACTTACTGGATGAATCATGTGACCAGAGCCTGCTCTCCTACACAGGCCCCACCCTACCCTGCCAGTGTGGAACAGTACGGGACAGTAGAAAGGGCACAGAAGAAATACACCACAGGCGCCCATGTCACAGGCTGTCAGCAGATATGATGCCCCCTGCACTAGCTGGACATTTCTGTGGGATAACGATGCCCACTTCCCTGGCAGATCAGGCTACGGGGCAAGGAACCAATACACCTTTCTAATGTTCCAGCTCCTGGAGAGCCCAGGGCACAGGGGACTCCCTGGGAAAGAACTTCTAGTGTTTCCAATATTCCTGTCATGACCCACAAGCCAGGAAACCCAATGTTTCTCTCTCTTCTTTCTTTTTTTATTTTACAAGAAAATCAGGTAACAGTAAGTAGGGGTTAGGTTTAAAATCAGGGCATACGGCAAAACTACAAATAATCCTTAACCTAGTCCTCAAATCCCCTGGACCCGGCCCTTGGGAATTCCCACAATTAAACTCTTTAGTTTCTCCTTGCGGTTCGGCTATGGCCTCCCTTTCTCTGTGACGGCGGAAAAGGCATGGAGTTGATGGAGGTTGGGGAATGACAACAAGGAAATTAAAGAGGGTTTTTTCCTCTCCACTCTGCTTGGAGTGTGTTTGTGCCAAGCGTCTGGAGCTGAGGCTGCCAGTTACAGGTGCCCACGGTGCTGCTGTGCCATGACTCCAACCTCTAGAGAGCAGACAGGGCTGCGGCCTGCTCCAGTGAGGTGGAGCTGCTGCCATGGTGGGACCCTCCAACCGCCCAGAGAGATCCCCAGGACTCTGAGGGGCTGGGTGAGAAGGAAGCAGGCGGAGGCTCCTTCCCCACCAGATCTGCCGGCCAGGAGGTCGAGGAGCTGCTTACCCCCGCCACAGGCCTGGATGAAAAAGAGCTTGGGCTTCCCTCCCAGGCTGGGGCAGCCAGTCCCGTTGAAGATGTTCACGATTCTCTCGATGGACACAGGACATCCGTCTGTGCCGTAGACGGCCCCTGGGAACTGGAGGTGGCTGGCCTAAAAGACCAAGAACCCCGGTTACAAAGTCAAGAAGAGAGGGTAGGAAGGAATCCAACAGCCTGTTCAGAGGTTTTGTGAGGTGGGACCAAGTATTCAGAAGGTCCCAGCCAGGGGCACGAGGCTGATTTAGACAGAACAGGTTGGCTCTGGAAGGGCCATGGTCAGCATCTAATCAGGCGTCTCACACGCATGTGCCTCTAGGGGCCAGGTGGCCCAGCTGCAGCATGCCGGCCAGCTTCGGCTAGACCAGTGGTTCTCAGAGTGTGGGCCCTGGGCCAGCAGCATCAGTATCACTTGGGAACTTGTAAGAAATGCAATTCCTGGGCCCCAACCCGACCGCTGAAATCAGCGATCCAGGAACCTCTGATGCAGGAGGGCACAGCCAACTCCTCAGAGGACCAGATGGCTCCTGAGAAAAAAACAGGAGGTGGACAGGGCCCCACAGCTCCACAGCTCTTTCCCACAAAGCCAAGGGTATTCTGGACACAGGAAGGGACGGGGCTCCTGCACAGCCTCTCAGCACAGCCTATACCCGCAGAGCAGGGCAGAGTGGAGGGGGCCTCCTACCTGACAGCCGTGGGAGAGGATGACCACCACGCAGCAGTCCAGAGCGCTGTGGTCCCGCCGGGCCAGCTCCACCAAAGCCAGGACCATTTTCTACGAGGGAAGGCACGAGTGAGCCGGAAGCACGGACAGATTTCCAGGCAGTGAGAGGGCCCGGCCCAAAGGCCTGGGGACAGCACTTCCTCAGCTCCCAGGGGCCGGTACTGAAGTAAAGACAGTCACAGCGGTACTAACGGCCACCATTTGCTATGCTTGGGCACCGTTCACCTAATCCCCATGACAAGGTGGGTATTATCCCGCTTTCTGGACACAGAAGCTGAGGCACAGGAGGTCACCCAGCAGGTAGCCGGGAGAGCCAGTCCTTAAGCCCAGGCTTCGCTGAGTCTGAAGCTTGACTGTGTAACCACCGGGCCAGTCTGCCCCCCTACAGTCCTACAGATGTAAGGGCTCGCCTGGACAGTCAGCTGGCTTTCGGGGTCCCTCACAGGGCCACGTCCCCACTCGCCCCCACAGGCAGTGACGGTACCTTGGCGGTCAGGTCGCACTTCACCTCCACCGCAAAATGCAGCAAGGAGAAGCGGCGCCGCAACTTCTCACAGTCGATGTTGGAGCCGGTGCGGGTGCTGTGCCCCGAGTCTGGGCAGAAGTTCACATTGTTGATGATGAGGCAGTGGCCACAAGGGTCCGCGTTCAGGACGTACGCCTGCCCGGCACAGGGACCAACATAAACTCACGGCCTCAGCGCACTCCCCAGGAGGAGGCCACCCGTGGTTCTCACTTATGTGGTTAACAGTCTGGAGAGACGGGGCAGGAAAAGGGGTCTGCCCTCCCATGGCTGGAGTAGTGGGGTCTCCAGCCAGCACTGCAGGCGGGAGAGAACCACCCGCAGGACAGACGGGTAGGGACTAGCAGTTCGACTAAACTCCGGAGAGAAGAATCGCTCCTAGTATTCAGGGATGGGAGCTGCCGGCTTGGAAATCCAACAACTCAAACATTCACCCCAAAAGGACCTTACAGGTCACCTAGTCCAGGGCGCACCTGAGAATTCGTGCCCAGGCCCCCCCCACAACCGAGCGTCTGAGGCTGCTCCTTCCCTAAGCGCCTTCCCCATGTAATTCTCTCCCATGGAAGCCTGTTCCTTTTGTTTAGAGTACGTATCACTGTTTGTGCTTATTAAATATGTATTCATTTGCCTAACTTCTCTGTCCCCTGCTAGACTGATGGCTCTTCCCCAGGGAACCCCAGCAGAGCCCAGGGCACACGGGAGGCACAGAATGAATGCTTGTGATGAGACAGTGGTGACTTGGGATGGGGGTACACGGCCGAGCCCGTGGCCTGCCCCTCCTGAGGTCTGTCCCCTGTCTTCACACATGAGGAAGAGCAGGGTTGAGCAAGCTATGTTAGCAAGTGCTGGGCAGGGACAGTGAGCCAGGAAGGCTGGGACTGGAACCCTACTCTCCAGCCATGCTGGGTTCCCTGGGCTCCTGACACAGCTGCAGGGAAGGAGGTGGCCAGTGGAGAGGGAAGGGCCCAGAGCCCAAGCAACTGGCCCCAAATCACACGAAGACTCACCAAATCTGCATTTCCCTTCAGTGTCTTGGGAGCACCTGGAGAGACAGAGAAAGAGGACATGAATGTCACAGTCCAACAAGGGAGGGGCAAGGGACTCTGTGAGGACAGCCCTGCAACACAGAGGGGAGCAGGAACTTGGGGGCCCTCAGGCTCTGCCAGTGGGAGAATCAAGCAGCAAAGCCACCCTGGATATCTGTAAAAGGTTCTAATAAACACACACCTACCCTCTGACTAGGAAGTCTACCCTCAGATATATGTCCAAGAGAAATGAGTATATGTGGGTACAAAATATTAGGGAATTAGCCAAGAATGGTCACTGAGGCCTTATTCATCATGCCCCAATCTGGAAACAACCAATCCAACACAAGTTGATGGGTATGTAAGTTGCGATACAGCCATACAAGGGAACACCACACAGCCCAAAAAGGAACAAGCTACTAATTCATGCAACGCTGTTGATAACCTTGAAAACATTACGCTGCGTAAAATCCAGACACAGAAGAGTGTAGACAGTGTGATTCCGTTCACGTGAAACTCCAGAACAGAAAGGGGTAAGGGAAGTTCCAGGAGAGCAGATGCTGGCTGTCTGCAGAGTCCACGGGGCCCAGCACACAGTAGGTCCTCAGGAAATATTTGCAGAATGAACAAATGAATAAAGATGGTCCCTTTCCTTTAACGTCAAAGAGTTTTCATTTCACTTAGCAAGAACTTAACTGGCCACCAGCCTATAATGTCGTCAGACATTTCTTTTTTAAACAAGAACACAGTGGCTACCTCCAGGTTGTGGTGAAACCTGTACTCAAGTTCCAACGATGGTACCACTCCTTGCTTAGAGCGGGTCTGGACCTCTTGCTGGGAACCATTCTCTTGCCAGTTTAGAAGCCATACCAGAAAAGCACTTACACCCCATTTTTCAAATTAGAAATGGTTTTACCTAGCCTGAAGACTCCTATAGTCCACAGATTTAATTCTGAGAATGTTTGCTCATTGCCAAAATTCCACTGCACCCCAGAATTGTAACCATTTTCTACTACTGAGGAATTCATTCATTCCCCCATGAGCACTATCAATGGACAAAACAAAATGGCTATGGGAGGCGGGGGGAACAGGCTACAGGGGTCTGTGGTGGAGAAGTCAACAAAGGAGCACCAAAAGAAAGGTAGGGAAGGCATTCAGGCAGACGGCACAGCACAAAGACAGCGAGGCCTGCCAGAGCATGGCATGCTCGGGGACCCTCAAGGAGGATGTCATGGTCAGATACGTGGTACCCGAGAGCAATTTCTCACAACATGGTGGCTCCCATGGGGACGACAAAACGCATGGCTAAGTGTATGTGCAGAAAGATCAGTCTTACAGCCTGAGAGTCACTGAGCATGTGCCCATGTCTCGAACACAAAGAGAAGGGGGAAAGCACATCCTCTCTGCTGCCCGAGGGAAGGAAGGCATTTCGTCCCACTGAACCCACGGCTGGAATCTCCCCAAAAGCAACAGCAGGGGAGTATCCACAAGGGAGTACCCCAAACCATCCCGAGATGGGGTCAATTGTGATTCCAAAGAAAGCAGCAGTAAACACCAGGGTGCTCAGTGCAGAGCATTTTTCAGGGGAACTTAGGCACAGAGTGGGCTGCAGTGATCCTCGCGACGGCAATGAGAGGGGTGTCCTACCCAGGTACGTCCACAGCAAGGGGGTCAGGGTGTGTTTATAGGAGGGTTAAGGAATATGGCTCAGGGCTGGGGCTAGTTTCTTTCTGGCAGGCTTAGATACCTTTGTCAGTGCCTGGGAATGGTCAAGGCCCTGGTTTGGGTTCAAGCCTGCTGGGAAAAACCTGTGGCTGGTTGGGTTACAGAATGGTCAAGGCTCTCTGTGATTCTCAGTCATGACGGAAAGAAAGCGGGGGTGCGGGGATATGGGGGACCCTACAGAAGGGTAGATGCCCCTAGGACTAGCCCCTCCCCAGCCCTTGGCAATTCAGAAATCACAGAAGGAAGCAGAGCTGACCTACCCAACCAAGTGCTCACTGAACGCGACGCCCCAAAAGTCCTGCCATGCACTGCTACACTTACTCCTCAGAGCAGTCCCCGCAGCAAGTAAGTACTGTCGTTTATCCCCACTTGCCAGCGGGGAGTGGGAGGCTCAGGGAGTCTGAGTGGTAACGGAAGGTGAGCACAGCCACCAGCCCCAGAGTGGAGGGGCCGGGGTGCCAGGGAGGGCTAAAGAGTCAACTTCTACTTTCAAGAAAGTTCCACCCCGGGTAAGGCATGAGCAGAGAAAGCCACTGTGATGTTAATGTTATGTGTCAGTTTGACTGGGTCACAGGGCGTCCAGATATTCGGTTAAGCACTATTTCTGGTTACGTCTGTGAGAGTGCTTTGGGATGAGACTGGGATTTGATATGGGTAGACTGAGTAAAGCAGACAGCCCTCTGCAATGTAGGTGGGCCTCATCCAATCCACTGAGGGCCTGAATAGGACAAAAAAGTGGAGGAAGGGAAAATTCGATCTCCTCCTGTCTGACCACTTGATCTAGAACATCAGTCTTCTCCTGCCTTTGAACTGGGACTTACACCATCGGCACTCCTGGTTCTCAGGCCTTCAGACTCAGACTGGAAGTACGCCACCAGCCTTCCTGGGTCTCCAGCTTGCAGACAGCAGATCATGGGACTTCTCAGCCTCCATAATTGCATGAGCCAATTCCTTATAATAGATCTCTTTCTTATATATGTGTGTATCTGTCTATCTATCTATCTATATCCTATTGATTCTGCATCTCTGGAGAACTCTGACTAATATAGCCACCAATAGCTCTCCCAGCCCTCCCATGCAAGAGGTCCTGGCTGGGATAAGCAGTAACACATGAGGCGTCATGTCTGAAACTAAGAAAGTTAATTCCATTCTGAAGGAAACAGCATTTTCCCTCAAAAATTTAAAGACAAAGCCACCCTCTCTGGTGAGCCCCCTGTGGCATGCACTCCCAAAGCACTGTGTTCAACTTTTTCAAAGCACTGACCACAGCTGTGAGTAAAGACCTAATTGTGCAGGCATGAATTAAATGTCTGTCCCTCTCCACGTGAAAGCAAGGACTGTGCATCTTTATTCAATGCTGCTCCCCCAACTCCTAGCTGATGCCTAGAACTCAGCAGGTACCTAACAAATACTTGAGTAAGCTAATGACTAAATGACACAAATACAGGGACAAGAAAGACAATGAGCCATTCGTTCTTTATGAGGCAATGACGGAATGAGTCTGGACTTCAGAGCCTGAGTACTTGGGTTCAAAGCCCGATTTTACCACTCACCAGCTGTGTGACACTGAGCAGGTAGCTCAGAGTCTCTGGGCCTCTGTTCTCCCCATCTGCATCATGGGATCAGAGGAGCAACTACCAACCTCACAGGATTGTGGTAAGGCCTCAAATGATTGATACATGTCAAAGCACATAAAACAATGTGTGACATATTAAAAGCTCAATAAAACTGATATGGCTATTATTGTCATTCATTGACACGCATACTCCAGAGCAGTATGTATACTCAACCCAGCACTGACGCTGTGGGCCAGATTCTTCTTTACAGTAAAAAGTTGTCTTAGAATGTTTGGCAGCATCCCTGGCCTGTACCCACCAGATGCCAGTAGCGTCCACCTACCCTCTGCTATAACAACCAACTATGTCTCTAGACATTGCCTAATGTCCCTTGGTGGGTGGGGGCAAAATTGCCCCCGCTTGACAAACGCTGATTTACAGCACCCTTTCCCGCACAGCTTATTAAAGACTCTGTGAAGTCCTGTTGGTGGCCCTACTCGTGCTTATCCAGATTTTCCCACATTTACATGACTACAGAGCTCTTTCTTTGTGGGTCACCATGAAACCTACCTTGGGAAACATTCCTGTGCAGTCCTCAGGAGTCTAAGGCCCAGCACCTAAAAAGGATATCTCTCAGCAGCATCAGGGTAAATGGTGCAGTCACTGTACTAAGCTAGAAGACCCAGGCCCAAGTCTTAGCTCTGCACTTGAACTTGCTTTGTGACTGTGCTGCTTTCAGAGCCCAGCTTCCTCCCCTGTAAATGGAGTCTAGTAACAGAGGGGCTTGCCCTGCCTACCACTGCATAGGGCATTTTTGATGACCTGAAAAAACACTGTGGCTGGGCACAGTAGCTTACACCTGCAATTCCAGCTATTCAGGAGGCTGAGGCAGGAGGATCACTTGAGGCCAGGAGTTTCAGAGCAGCCCAGACAACATAGAGAGACACCGTCTCTAAAAAAAAAAATTTTAGCCAGGCATGGTGGCATGTGCCTGTAGTCCCAGCTCCTCTGGAGGCTGAGGTGGGAGGATTGTTTGAGCCCAGGAGGATGCACTCCAGCCTAGGCCGAAGAGCAAGACCTTGTATCTTTAAAAAAAAAAAAAAAAATCACTATGTTTACTATAAAGTGATATTCACATTTAAAGTGATCTTATTATTGCCATTATTATTTGCCCTTTGGAAATAAGCTCCCCCTAGGAATAAAGATTCACAACTAACAGAAAATAAAATACCTTACAAAAGAACAGGAAGTTTCAAGTTCAGACCATTGTTCCTAAATAACTCAAACTGACATTTCCCAGAACCAGACAACAGACGAACTTCATTATTTTACCTGCCTTCTTTACAGAACAACAATGAACATCAACAATTCCAGAACAATCTTCTTCCTTATACTTCAAGCAAATGCAGCTTCATATCCTAATCATGTTTGTTTGTTTCTCTGCTTTAATAGATTGTCCAAAATCACAGTTATTCAGCACTCCTTATTCAGGTACTACTTATCACCCATCACATAAGGAAAAAATGTTAATATTCATTGTTGGCAAAAATATGGGACAATGGTCACCCTCAGTCATAATTGGTAAGATTAAAAAATGACACATTTTTGAAATATAAGCTGGTAGCATCTATCAGAAGGAAACACGTACCCTTGAACCCACAATTCCATCTCTAGGCATGTATCCCTCAGTCAGAGACATGCAAGGCCACTGCAGAAACAACACAACATCCATCGACAAGGGCTAGCTAGAGAAAAGCAGCACAAGGCACATGCAGGGCTACCCGGCGGCAGAGCAGACAGAATGGGAAAGCCTGTTCCCCTCAGCATTCAAAATGTTAAAAATAAAATAAAATAAAAAATAAAAATAAATTAATAAAAAAGAATGGGGAAGCCTGGACTGCAATCTTGTTTCCACTTCTCAGTAGCCGTGTGGTTTGGCGCAAGTCATTTCCCAATCTGTGACTCGTTCTGTTCAATAGTAAAATGGGAAACATGTAGCGCCTGCCTTACAAAAGAGTTGGGGAGATTAAATTAGATCGTTTGTGTAAGCACCTGAACAGTGCCTGGCAAATAGTAAGTAATCAATAACGTTAACCATTACTATTATTATTATTATCAGCATCAATACCATGCAACAGTCCACCAGGCAACCATGAAATAGGAAGCACTAGATCTCCATGTGCTGCCATGGGAACAAAGCCCTAACTGCAAACAACCCATGTGTCGATCAACAGGAGAATGGTTAAAGAAATTGTGGATTACTCAGAATAGGAACCACCAGCAATAAAACATAACGAACTACTGATGTGCAAAACAGCGTGAATGAATTTCACAGATACGATGAAGAGTGAAGAAGCCAGACTCTAAGAGTGCACAGGATTCCATTTCCACTGAAGCTGAAGGACAAGTGAAAGGGGAGGCCATGCTGAACTAACAGGAAAATACCTAACCCCGCAATTTCCCCAGTAACAGTTAAAGATCAATCCTACAGTTCTCTCCCTAAGAGGCACTCTGCAGGAGTTCTGTTTTGCACAACTTCTAAAGAGAGCTGAATGGACGGAAAAGAGTAAATGTCTCTTGTTGAAAATTGTTTTTTGAGAATCTGTTTTCTTACAGCCTAAAGAGTTCCTGAGCAAATAGCAGGGTGCAAGCTCCAGGCCTCAGCCACATCCCGAGGACAGAGTCACATCTCCTCAACAATCCCTTCTCCAAGGAAAGGCAGGGGAGTCACTCTCAGACTTCGACATCCTCACAGTTTTTGTCATCTACCTGCCGCCAGGAAGAAAGGAAGGGGCCTGTGCAGCAGTTTCTCCACCGCACCTGCCATTCTACAACCCTGTCCGGAGCCATGAGGCCCGGCAGCTGCTTATCCAAGATGGCCGCGAGCCATGTGGATCGGCCTGCTTATCTAAAATGGCCGACCAAGCCCACGCATTTGCAAAAGCCCGCGAAAGAGCTTGTAAGTTTCCATTTACCCATTATGACGTAGCCCTTGAAAGCCGCCTGAGGGTTTCCTTAAATGGAAATCCTTTGGCTGGAAAGCCAGAGCCTCGGAAAGCACCGCCCCTTTACTGTTACTTCCTCTTTCTGCCTTACTTAAGCCTCTGCCCTACTGCCAATAAACGAGACTTGATCAGACTCCTGTCTTGTCTCCATTTCTTGTGTCTCCTGCCTCTCCCAATTCCCACTCCCTCCTCCAGGGTCCGCGTTGACTACCCCGCGGGTCGGGACACAACCCCCTTTAAAAAGCCTCAGTGGCTGGTTTTCCGGCGGCACATTATTCCTTCTCCACCTCCGCGCTGGTCCTTTTCCCCTCCCCAGGGAAAAGTATCTAAACCTCTTCTTCCTATCCCAATCTCTGCCTGGAGAAATCTTTCTCCGCCCTCACTGTGAGCACCTACTAAGCTTTCCACCCTAACACGAGCAAAAGGGACCAAGCAAAAGGGACCACAGCGATAGAGGTCAGAGCAGAGATTACCCTGGGAAAAGGGGAGAGGGATTAGACTGGGAAGAGGCTTACAGGACACTGAAATGTTTTATATTTTCCCTGAGTCTCAGTTACCTCATCAACAAGGACGGGTCCGATACCTGCCTTGCAGGGTTGCTGCGAGGGAAGGAGACAAGGGTATACACTGTGCAAAGGCATGTTTGTACGGGGCAGACTCTGCAGAGGCCTCCCTCCTGTCCCCAGGCATGGGTTAGTCCAAGCCACCCACCTGGACCCAAAGGCAAGTCCTAAACAATAGCTGGATCTAGAAACACAGATCAAAACTGGGGACACGCACTATCAAAGGCAGGGAAAAAACAAAAACAAAACCTGGCACATCCAAAAGAGACTTCAGCACATGCTTTTCAGAGGAGGGACTGCCAGAATTAAATCTCCTGAAGACCTACCAGAATATTCCACCCATCCCTATGAGGGCTCAGAGAGATAACGCCAAAATTCAATTCTGAATCTCAGCCCACCCAGCCATACCAACGGTCACTCCCCACCCATCAACCACTCTCTTGATACTCACAGACATCACTGAATCCTCCAGAACCAGTGTCCACTGGACTGGGTGTTTTTGGCCTGAGCACCACTGGGGTAGGGTTTCCTGGGGTCGGCTTCAACAGCTTTGCTGACTGCCTACTGGTTCGCAGGAATGACGCCAGCACGTCCTGGCCTGTGTCCTCTAAGCAGGAGATGAACAAGGGAAGGGCCTGACTCCCTCGAGTCTCTAGGTCTATGATCAGCTGCCTGGCCTGATCCCGCCGAGATCCAGAGCCTGCCCGCTGTTTGAAAAGAAAGACATGACACTAATCACCCACATACTTTCATGTGGCTCTCACCTGTCCCCCCATTTCCTCTCTAGTGTAAGTTAAACAATCAGGCACATGGGCAGAAATGGAGCCTGCAGGTGCACTGAGTGCTTACCTATTTATTCAGTATTTTGGAGGCAGCTACCATGTGCCCAGCACCGTGCTAAGTGAACAGCCTCAGTCCTTAAGGAGCAAATGCCTAACGGGGGATGCAATCAGACAAACCAGCAATGACACAGCAAGGACAGAAGTGCCCAGATGGAAGACACATGGGGTTGAGAGGGTACAGGACCACCCAACTCAGCCTTGGGGGGTCAGCAAAGCCCCCAGGAAGGGAAGTCTTGGCTGAAACCCCAGGAAACATCAGAAAGTAAATAGCGAATCCAGAAAATTATAAGGGGGTAGGTGGACAGTGGCAAGGGTCACAGCCTTTGTGTGACCAGACTAAGAAATTCATCCTGAGAGCTGGGAGGAGCCCCTCCTGTGAGTTTTAAGAAGGGAGTGAGAGTCAGATCTGCCTTTTCAAAAAATCATCCTGGAGTCAGGGTGGACAATGAAAAGGAGTGAGCCCCAGGCAGGATAGGCGGTGGCAAAGATGGTGCAGCTGGAACAGAGAGAGGTGAGAGGACAGTCAAGGTCAACAGACAGGTGTCAGAATGGCAGGGCCGGTCACTAAGACAGGAGGAAGATGCGGGTTATCTGCTACCTGTCCTTGGAGACCCAACACTGGACTAGTTTCTCGGGATCCACTGGGATAAGACACCACCCTGTCCTCAAATATCCTACAGCTGCACTATCCAAGAGAACTTTCCACGATGACAGAAATGTTCTTTATCTGCACTGTCCAATATGGTAGCCACCAGCCACAAGTGGCCCATGAGCACCTAGGTAGTACAACCGAGGAACTGAATTTTTAACTTTAATTTTAATTACTTCAAATTTACATCTAAATAACCACATGTGGCTAATGACTACTACAGTGAACAGCACAGACCTATAGCGTCCATGAGAAGATGAATCTCACTAGCAAAACAGCCAGCTACATGCAAACAGGTCATGGTGTTAGGATTTCTCAACATTTGCCAAACACTCGCCATCGGTCAGACACTGTGTTAAATGTATGATTTCATTTTTTTTTCTCTCAACAACCTTAAGGGGTTAAATTACAATTTATCCACTTTATAGATGAGGGAAACTGAGTCACAGAAAAGTTTTGGGTTTTTTTTTCTGCTTGTTTGTTTTCTTTGTTTTTGGTTTTTTGCAACTTGCTAAGATGTAATAAAGCCAAGATGAGGGCCCAGATCCATCTGGCTCCAAAGCCTGTGTGTTTATCAGCCATAGCAGGGGTGGCAAAATGGTGACCTTGTGGTTCACACAAGATTCTTTAAAATTCTGAATTTTTTGCTAACATTTTATGTCAGGGAATTTGAAAGAGAAATCAAGATTTCCAACCGGGCTCAGTGGCAGCTCATGTCTGTAGTCCTAGCACTTTGGGAGGCTGAGGTGGGAGGATCACTTGAGCCCAGTAGTTTGAGACCAGCCTGAGCAACATAGCAAGGCCCTATTTCTACAAAAAAAAAAAAACCAGAAAAATCAGCCCAGTGTGGTGGCATGTGCCTGTAGTCCCAGCTACTCAGGAGGCTGAGACAGGAGGATTGCTTTGATCCCAGGAGTTTGAGGTTACAGTGAGCTATGATGATGCCACTGTACTCTACCCTGGGCAACACAGCAAGACCCTCAAAAAAAAAAAACGATTGCCAGCTTCTCTTTAAAAATGTGAAAGATCTGGCGACATGGGGCCAGCATGCTGGTATGACCATCCTCAGCTGGAGATGGGGGGTAGTGCAGAGGATACCCAATATAATGCCAACCAGTCAGGCCTCCACGGGCATTTGAGCTTGTGACCCCTGTAAATGTGCCTCGAGGCAAGGACTGTGGCCTCAAAGCATTTCCATTACCTGGTATAGGCCACACAGCAGGTGCTCATAAGACTTGTTTTATTATTATATTAATCGGTAATTATTCATATGACACTCAATTGACCAGTGTCTCCTATTAAAGACTCTTTGGCTGGGCCCAGCCAAGCTCCTGGACGATGTGCAAGCTGGAGACTCAGTCTGCAGGGCACCCCCAAGGGCACCAGCTGGGGTCTCCCGCCAGACACTCACATGCACTGCACTTCACCTAGGAAATACTTCCTGTATCCCCACAGGCCTGTGGTGAGGGTCGAACAAGACAAAGACGTGAAAGTGCTTTCAAAGAAAACCTCAACCTCATTTCCAAAACCCTTTTACAAAACATAAACAACACATAAGGGGCTGGCCAAAGAGGACATGGCACATTGAGCCCTTCCTTTGTGCCTGGCACCGCACTGTTTCACACACATTATCTCGTTTAGCCCATATGACAACATTACTGTTGTTCCCATTTGACAGCCCAGCAAACTGAAGCTCAAAGGGGTAAGTGACTTGCCCAGGCACATGCTGCCAGAGAGTCTGATGCCAAAGTGAGTGCCTGGACCTTCTATGCTAGTCAAGTGAAAGTACACATGCCTCCCCCTCCCAAGTGTTAAAGTAAGTTAAAATGGAGACCAAGCCTGAAGAAACCCTGAGCAGACAAAACCAAATAGGCCTCATAAGTGCCCCAAATCCTGCTTAAATCGCAAACATAAGCAAAACTTAACTTGGGTCACTTCTGGTAAATGTTTATGTTAGACAGAAATAAAACCACCCAGCCAATCATAAGCAGTCAACTAACCTAGGCTTGTGTAACTAGGGACTTTCCAACAAGGTACCTAAAAAAAGGCAATTTTATAATTGCAAACCAATCAAATAATTTATTTTGCTTCCACATCTTCCCAATAAATACTTGCCTCTGACGTTTTGTCATCGTAACACTAAATCTCTTTCAGTCCGGTGTTCCCCAATTCATGAATTGGTTCTTACTCAAATTCTTCAACATTTAATTGAGCCTCAGATTTTCCTTTTACCTAACAGCGCACGCTGACGGTGCAGGACGCGGAATCGCTTTAGCAAATACTCCACAAAGCGATGTCTGGGATCCTTGGCTTCCACGGGAAGACTGTGCGGGCTCGATTCCGCAAGGGAAAACGGGGTTCCCACGCAATGGTTCCTCGAAGGGGATGGGTACCGGCTAGGACAACGCGGGGGAGAGGGCGGAGCTCGGCCATTAAGCCTCGTTGTGGCTTCAGCGACCCTCCTCGCGGTGCTCGCCGTACCCACCGCCGACGGGGAAGGCCGCGTGCCGCGCGGGAAGCGCGGGGACGGGGACGTACCTGGATGTCCTCGATCATGTCGGGGGTGAAGAGCTCACGGTTCAGCAGAGCGTCCCAGAGCGGGACCACCTGCAGCTCGCTGACCAGCTGCACCCGAGACCGCCGCAGGAGCTGCCGGTCCGCTTCCTCCATGGCTGGCAGACGGCGGGGACCCCGGGCCGCCTCCGTCGGCTTCCGGGCCTCGGCCCCAGCGTCCCGTCGGGTCCTCCGGACCCGCCCTCGCCCCAGGACC